ATGCCCAGCTAATTTTTTGTATTTTTAGTAGAGACGGGGTTTCACCATGTTGACCAGGATGGTCTCGATCTCTTGACCTCGTGATCCACCCGCCTCCGCCTCCCAAAGTGCTGGGATTACAGGCTTGAGCCACCGCGCCCGGCCGGACCTGTGCGTTTGATAACTCTAAGGTATAAACTTAAAGTGGACCATTTTTTAGATTCATGCCTTCTGAATGCTTCCACCTCTTTGGTTGAGATTTCTAGATTCCTTGATAAGGCAGAGCCTGATGAGCAGATGAATCTTAAAAAAAAAATTGGATGGGTTACCTGTCCCAGGCCAGAGAGGAATCCTGTAATAAGTTATTACAAACGTGTACCATGTGCTTTCAGCCTGGTCCAGAAGTGATGCCATGACAATGTCCCCGCTCCTAATGACCATACCTCCAGACCCATTTTTCAAATTCTTTAGCCATCAAAGCACATTCCTAAAGATCTTTGGGTTTTGTAGTGCAGGCTGCGGTAGGACTAGGTTTTTAGGCTTAGTAAATGTAATTATTAGGTCATAGTTATTGTTCATGCTCTCTAGGCAGGCACTGTAAAAACCCTGACAGGTTTAAAATTTTTTTTTTTTTTTGAGATGGAGTTTCACTCTTGTTGCCCAGGCCGGAGTGCAATGGCGCAGTCTCAGCTCACCACAACCTCCAACCTCCGCATCCTGGGTTCTAGCGATTCTCCTGCCTCAGCCTCCTGAGTAGTTGGGATTACAGGCATGTGCCACCACACCCAGCTAATTTTGTGTTTTTAGTAGAGACAGGGGTTTCTCCATGTTGGTCAGGCTGGTCTCGGAACTCCCAACCTCAGATGATCCGCCTACCTCAGCATCCCAAAGTGCTGGGATTACAGGCATGAGCCACCGTGCCTGGCCAAAATTTTTTAATTAAAATTTTAAATTATCATTCTCAAATAATGTTATCAAGAACCTAGATGTATTTCCTGTGTGATCTGAAGCAAGCACATTGTCACATTGGCTTTGGAGTTTCTGTTAAGTCTTTTTTTTTTTTTTTTTAAAGACGGGGTTTCACCATGTTGGTCAGGCTGCTCTTGAACTCCCAACCTCAGGTGATCCGCCCGCCTTGGCCTCCAAAGTGCTTGGATTACAGGCGTGAGCCACCACTCCTAGCCTCTGTTAAGTCTTAGTAGCTACAACAAGGTAAGTAGAAAGTAGAAGGTGCTTATGAAAGAGCGTTGAATTGTTAGGAAAGTGATTCTCAAGGTTGACTGCATGAATTTAGAGCAACTAAAAAGTACTAATTGTGAAGCCCTATTCTAGTATGGAAAAAATAAGCTTGATGGAAACTTTGGTATAAATCAAATGGTTATATCATATCCTGTTAACTTTATAGTCTTGAGTAATTAAAAAATGTTACTGCTATTGTGTATTCTGTGAATGTTTATTTTTTTTCCGTGAAAATTTATTAATGTCAACAGTGTGCTGATGAGTTGATAGTATCAATACTACAGAAAGATTAAGGGAGATGAGAACTGAAAAGAAGTGTCTAGATCTCACAATTAAAATAGACTGCAGTTTTGCATTTCAGATTCTGAGACAGTCATTGACTCATTCCTAATAACCCTGCTCGGAATCTCACTAGCATCAGAAAGATTGGAGATGTTTCAGCATCAGAGTTTTGGGATGCTTCTTGATAACGATCAGATAGTAGTTGTTTTGAAATGTCAAGAGCATTTCTGTGGTTCTTCATGTGGTCCTAATGGAAATGTTTTCTAAGTAATTTCTTGACAGTTACAGCATTTTGAGATACAGTGGGAAGGGCTTGTGATTTTGAAGCTAGAGGATCTGGGTTTGATTCCTAGCCCTGCTGTTTATTATCTGGGAAATCCAGTACTACACACTCTGGATGCTCTGGGGCAGTTTTCTTATCTATAAAATGGGCATATATCTACTTCATGGGGTGGTTATGCAGAGTCAATGAATGTGAAATGTTTAATAAACTGTGAAGTCTCATACAGATTTCCATTCATCATCGTCATTATTATTATTTTATTTAACTTTTGAAAAAATATGGAACATTTCATGAATTTGCCTGTCATCCTTGCGCAGAGGCCATGCTAATCTTTGAATTGTTACAGTTTTTTAGTATATGTGCTGCTGAAGCAAGCACTCCATTTATCATTATTATCCTCTATGAGAATTTTACTTTTTCCAGACTTGAGGGGAGGGAGATATTGCAGTATTTTAGTATCTTCTTTACAAATGGGTCTGTGAATGATGCACCTGTGCGTGTTGTTACATCTTTATAGTGGCTACCACAACTTCACATATTATTTAGTACTGTTATGTTTGTGAATGTCACAAACCCAAGTTAAACTGCCTGAAGCCAAAAAGGAAATTTATTGAAAGACATAGTTGAGGCTGGGTGTGGTGTCTCACTCCTACAAATCCCAGCACTTTGGGAGGCTGAGGTAAGAGAATTGCTTGCGCCCAGGAGTTCGAGAACCAGCCTGGGCAGCACAGTGAGACTTCGTCTCTACAAAAAATGCAAAAATTTAGCTAGGCATGATGGTGTGGCATTGTGGTCCCAGCTACTTGGGAGGCTGAGGTGAAACAATCACTTGAGCCCAGGAGGTCAAGGCTGCAGTGAGCTGTGATAGTGCCACTGCACTCCAGCCTCAGCAATAGAGCAAGACCCTGTCTCAAAGAAAATAAATATATAGTTGAAAAGATACAGATAATTAGGTTGATCCATTTGAGACTGATTTTTTTTTCTAGGCAGAAATAGTCAAATATTGACAATTTTATTTGGTTCAACCTAATATAAAATGGAGGCTCAAACTATGTCATGCCAATCTTGTTTTTCTTTCCATCTCCTGGCTCTGAGATGACTCCATTCTTTTTTTTTTTTTGAGACGGAGTTTCGCTCTTATTACCCAGGCTGGAGTGCAATGGCGCGATCTCGGCTCACCGCAACCACCGCCTCCTGGGTTCAGGCAATTCTCCTGCCTCAGCCTCCTGAGTAGCTGGGATTACAGGCACGCACCACCATGCCCAGCTAATTTTTTGTATTTTTAGTAGAGACGGGGTTTCACCATGTTGACTAGGATGGTCTCGATTTCTTGACCTCATGATCCACCCGCCTCGGCCTCCCAAAGTGCTGGGATTACAGGCTTGAGCCACCGCGCCCGGCCGACTCCATTCTTAAATATGTTCTCCTTTGATGTAAAGTGGCTGTCAGTGGCTCTGGAGCCACCTCCTCATGTCCACAGGGAAATAATAAGGGTTTTAATCTTAACTATTCCCAGCAAAAGTTTCAGTTGCATCTTAGGGGCTCTGCTTAGATCGTAAGCTCATTGGAGAATCAGTCAGTGAAACCAGGGTCATGATGTGTTCCCATGGCTTAGTCTTGGGCTATATACTCAGTCCTTGAGATCATGTACTAAGGGGTGGAGTCCAGAAAGAAACTGGGGTAAGGCTATTGGGAGAATGGCGAACAGATGCTGGGATGCAAAAATAACAGGTGTCCAGCATACCTTACCGGATAAAATTGATGGGCGATGTTATTCCCATTTTATATGTGAAGATGCACTTGAAAAAGCTACAGAAATTTCTTGAGCGGGTAGCTCTGGAATAACTTACAGAATTGAAAGGAGAAAAGCATTGGAAACACTATGATAAAAGGTGTGGTGATCTGTGCTCATGTGAACATGTTGCAACTTTAAGTTTAGAAGGAGAACAGGGGAAAGAAAGACTTTTAGAAGGTTTATCGGGATCCTAAAGTTTTCTTATTTGGAGCAGAACTTTGTGATAGGAAAGTTCTGGAAATTGAGCTGAGATCAGACTACAGGATCCCTTGAGTCCAGTGTAGTATTTCGTTTTTCTGGGAATCTTAGGCTCTTGCTCCTTTTCCAATTTACTTCACTCCAATGTTTATGTTCCTAAGACTTTGTCCCTTTTCCAAGCACTAGTCCTCAGCTATAAGGATGGGGTAGAGATAAAGAAGCTTTAAGAGTCTGGAGACAGGATAAGATGCTTCTGTGGAAACACAATACATCTTGGAACATATCTGAGCGTCCTTAGCACTTCACCTATGGACTTTTCCCGTAAATGGTAGAACAGGTATCCATAACGCCTTATTGGATTAATTCAGAAATGCCAGATACATGTATTCTTTGCTGATGCTAACTTTGTTGGTCTCTAACTGAAGTCTTATCTCTAATCACATTGGCTGAGAAAATGGAGACATTATCATTCCGAAAGTAGGATGGTTAGCTTTTACATTCGGGCACTTTTGATTTAGGAAAGCACTGAAAAGAAATGTAAGTCTTTTCTAGATAATGACAGACTAGACAATTTGAAATTTTACTTTTGGTCATTAGCCCTCAGATCATGCCTGACCCCCAGGTTATTGGAAACAGTGAGAAATGAATGAAAGGAGGAAATGTAATTATCATTCTGTGCATTGAATAGTTGAGCCACTATTACCATGGATACGATGGCGTGTTTATTGTCCAGATCTTGAGATCCAAGTTTGCAAGCAATACCCAAGGTCTCCTTTAAATTTATGTACTATCAGCCAATAACACATGAAGATTCCCAGTATTTCCTCACTGATCTACTGATTCACATTAGGTGACAGCGTAAGTACCTTTGAAGGTGTTGAGGAAACCTGAAAAAGAGGAAAAGGAAAGTAGGTACACTTCTGTATTGCTGGACATTCTTAGACTCCTATATAAAAATATACTGTCTTACAGTGTCAGTGATTTGCATGTCACTTTGGCCCCAGTGCTTTGGTTTTTATCTCATTAACGAAGAGAACATTTCCTGCGTAAAGGCTGAAAAAAATCAAAATCATTTATTTTTTGAGATAAGGTCTCACTTGATCACCCAGGGTGGAGTGCAGTGAGGTGAACACTGCAGCGTCCACTTCCTAGGCTGAAGCGATCCTCTTGGCTTAGCCCCTTCGAGTAGCTGGGACTACAGACACATATCACCACACACAGTTAATTTCTATATTTTTTGTAGAGATGGGGTTTCTTCATATTGCTCAGGCTGGTCTCAAACTCCTGAGCTCAATTGATCCTCCCGCCTCAGTGCCCCAAAGTGCTGGGATTATAGGCATTAGCCACCATGCCCCACCAGAATAATTTATTTTATCAGAAAATTCTTAAAGTTGAATTTAAGAATGGAAGCATTTTATCTGAAATATGGCAATCCTACCCACACTTTAGTCTCACTAGAAGGGAGGTGATACATGCTAGCATGTACTTCCACACTGGTTTAATTTTGATGTAGGGGAGGGTGTGGAGGATACTTTTTATTGCAAGAAACAGAAAACCCAACTCAAAATGGCCTACACAATAAAGGGTATTTCTTGGCTCATGTGAGTAAAAAATACTGAGGCAGAGTGGGGTTCAGGCGAGGTACAGTCAGGGCTCCAGTTCTCTTTTTTTTTTGTGTTTTTCTTGACCTTACTCCCCTCTAAGTTTCACCTTTGTGTTCAGTCTGGCTTCCCATATGATTGTGATATGGCTGCCAGGGCAAATGTGGCTACGTGTTTCCTTGATCCTGTCTAGGGGGAATTCAACTTTGAGAAGGTTTCAGTTATGTTCTCAAAAGTATTATTTCATCACAATAACTTACAGAATGTTATAATTTCTAAGGACCCTAGATAAAGTCAGCTAGCTCCCTAAACTTGGCATGTCATCAAAATCACCTGAGGAACTTTAAAAAGTATATAGATTCTTAAATCAAAATCCATCCTAGCTAAAGCAGGGATATAAAAATCTGTATTTTAAAAATATTTTATTTTATTTTATTTTATTTTACTTTCAGTTCTGGGATACATGTGCAGAATGTGCAGATTTGTTACATAGGTATACATGTGCCATGGTGGTTTGCTGCACCTATCAACCTGTCATCTGTTTTATTTTTTATTTTTAAATTTTTTTCAATTTTTATTTATTTATTATTATTCTTTTTAGTGACGGGGTCACCCTATGTTGCCCAGGCTGGAGTGCAGTGGCTGTTCACAGGTGCCGCCCCACTGCTGATCAGCACTGGAATACTATCAGCACTGGAGTTTTGACCTGCTCCGTTTCCTACCTGGGCCGGTTCACCCCTCCTTAGGCAAACTGGTGGTACCCCCGCTCCCAGGAGGTCACCATACTGATGCCCAACTTAGTGCAGACACCCTATTGGCATAGCGCACTGCAGCTGAGAACTCCTGGGCTCAAGCGACCCTCCCACCTCAGCCTCCCAAGTAGCTGGGACTACAGGCACACACCACCGTGTCCGGCGTCATCTAGGTTTTAAGCCTCACATACATTTGGTATTTCTCCTAATGCTCTCTCCCCTTGCCCCCCACCCCCTGACAGGCTCCAGTGTGTGATGTTCCCCTCCCTGTGTCCATCTGTTCTCATTGTTCAACTCCCACTTATGAGTGAAAACATGCGGTGTTTGGTTTTCTGTTCTTGTGCTAGTTTGCTGAGAACGATGGCTTCCAGCTTCATCCATGTCCTTGCAAAGGACATGAACTCATTCTTTTTAATAGTTGCATAGTATTCCATGGTGTATATGTGTCATAACCAACCCAAATGCCCATCAATGATAGACTAGATAAAGAAAATGTGGAAAATCTGTATTTTTAAGAGTTTCCAGGTGATTCTGAGGTCTGGACAAATTTTGGGAATGTCTGATCTATGTAACCCCTCTCATTTTTTGGTTTTGTGAACAGACTTAGGTATGAACTGACTTGCCACTGCAAATTTTTTCAGTGGCAGTTAAGTATACTCTGTTAAATCTCTTTCTTTTGGATGGGAATGCTACATTAACAAGGACAGGACTCTAAGTCTGAGGGTAATATGAAGGACTGTCCCATTCCTGGCCACCTCCTTTTTTGGCCAGCATGGCAGGTCCTGAAACCCTCCCTAAATGTCCCACTGTTTGTGTCTTAATGGTATGCTTTGCTCTTACCTTGGACAACTTTAAAGTCCCCCTTCCCCCAGACCCTCCCAAGGTCATTAGATTTATTGAGGTAAACAACTGTTGCAGGTCTTCTAATCTTTTCTCACCTAAGTCAGGAATTAATCTCAGAGCACTCCTGACATAGCCCACTAGCTTCTAGAGAAGCTGTTTGTTCTGCGCTTGGAATGGAAGTGTAGATAA